GATGGGTACTCAGGGTACCATGGTGCATACAGCAGACCCACAGATCTGCCCCTGTCTACTTACAGCCACGAAGTGATTGTGCAAAGAATTTTGAGTACAGCTGAACAGAGATCTGACTGTCCTAGTTAGTACTAGCGTATTCTAAAACCTCTATACATTGGGGAAGTCTTCTTGTTTCTTCTGTGGTTCAGAATAACTTCATAAAACCATGGAGCTTAGATAGAAATAATGGTTTTCAACTGGTTAACCCCTACATTCTCAGAGACAAAGATTCAGGGGCTCTGTGTGCTTTCCCCAGGGTCGCTCAGCTGGAGAGGGGGCCAGGACTGTGCCAGCAGAGGGGGGTCCACTATTCTTGGGTTTACTCCTCACCCCCAGGCTCACCATGGACCCCAGTGTCCATTAGCAGACAGGGCGAGGAGTGATTTGTGTTCATTCTGTTTCTGCTCTGAGGTCTCTCAATGTCTGGGTCACTGTGATTGTACTATGCCTAGAAATTCTGGAACTTCCTGACAGAGCCAGTCTAGAGTACTTCAAGAGGAGTTGTTTTTCTGTCACTATTTCCCTGAATCCTGTCTAGCTGATGGCACCTAACTTGAGAAAGGATTTCTCCTGACCTCTTTTTAGGGACTTGTTCATTACTTACAATAAGATACCTTCCAAAGTCTGCCAGACGCTGGAGCATAACATTTCTAATCAGAGCTCAACCAATCCCAGAAAACTAGTTTCAGTGAAAAATGAAGTGACTAATAGACTAAGTCTAAATGATTGTGAGGTGGGTGATAATCCTATTTTCCTAGTCAAATAATGTAGAGCTGTTAAATGCAACTTCTGAGGTTGTTTGTGGTTTTGAATATTAATCTTCCTGAACACACACCTTTTTATTCCATCTGTAATTTGAATGCTCAAAATGTAATCATGTGTAAGAAAACATGAGCTTTAGTATTTAAAATTAAAGCTTCTAGTTCATAATCTGGTCCCTAAGTATCTTAACAATTCATCAGGGGAAAGGGATCAACATTTCTTGAGTACCTACCATGTGCCAGGCTCTTTACTGGCATCTTTTTCTTCATATGTTATGGTTTATCCTTCAGCTCTCTCAGATACTTATAATTATCCCTTTATTACAGAAGATGAAATTGGTGCCCAGAAAGCCATTGGTGGTGCTAGGGTTTGAACCCAGGTGCCACTGCCTAAAGTTCTACTTTCTATGATACCAAATGATTTAACATCATTCCTAGAAAGACTGATTGAGAATCTGTAGTTTTGCCCCTTAATCCAATAAGTGAGCCTGACTTACACTGAAGGAAATATAGCAACTACCCAAATTTGACAGCAAATCCATCTGACAGTGACCGCCATAATGTCAGTGATAAAAATGGTTCAGTGTAAGCCAGACACAATTACAGTTTATATGTACAGTCTCAGTTGAGTCCCACAATCATCTTATCAAGTATCTGCTGTTATTATATTGACTGGTTGAGCCCCTGTGTGGTGGGGATGGGATGGGAACCCAGAGATGCTTTCTTCACTCTTCTGTACAATTGTCAAATAGAACAAAGCAAGGCACCTAAAGACTAATTATCGATATATTTTACTTCAATTACTTGATAGAAGACAATATTTTAATGAGTTATAAGGGTTATTCCCATGTTAACTAATAAATAAAGAGGGAGTTCTTATCATGATTGGTAGTGGTAAGACTGGTGATGATAAGATACAAGGTCTAAAGTCCCACCAGTGATAACATGTTGAAGAGAAATCCAAAGGAATCAGCCCTTCAAGTAGTGGGAGTCAGGACTGGGGTAACCCACCATACTATAATGAAATAGGGGAGATTTTGTGTTTCTGAGCACAGTGTGCTGGTGACATCAGGCGCTGTTACCTTGGAACTGACCTTCCCCGCTCCTTAGAAGGAATGGGCTTCCCTGCTGTTCTGAGCCAGCCTGCCTCCACCACTGGGGACAACCCTCAGGCCTGTTCTGCCAAAGGAAACTTGCCTCCAAGTCTCTCTGGCTTAGCACTTCATCATTTTCTATGGAAAGGTTGAATCAAAGTAGAAAAAGGTCAATCTCTGACACCTATCTCTCTGGCAGTATCTATTTGAGGCTCTCTTTTAGGAGGCAGGAATAGGAGATGTTTCTGAATTGTGTTCCTCTTCAATCATTTAAACCACTCTTTTGTATCACAGCTGCTCGACTATGCAGTTTTACATCCCTAATCTCCCTTTTGCCCCTGTTGTTTTTATTTAGTTTCTAAGTCACGTCTGACTCTCTGGGAAACTGTGGACTGTGGCCCACCAGGCTTCTCTGTCTAATGGGATCTCCCAGGCAAGAATATTGGAGTGGGTTCCCATTTCCACCTCAAGGGAATCTTCCTGATTCAGGGATCGAACCTGTCTCCTGCGTTGGCAGGTAGAGTCTTTGCTGCTGAGTCACCAAGGAAACCCTTTTGCCCCTATTAAGTGTGGTGGTACAGTCTCTGGAGTCAGACCACCCAAGTTGGAACTACATCTCTGACACTTGCCAGCTCTGTAAGGTGGGTCAAGCTACAGCCTCTCAAAATGCCTGTTCCTTCATCTGAAAAGTGGAGATACTACGGGGTTATACCTCCTGGGGTTATTGTAAATTAGAGCACATAAAGCATTTAGAACTGTGTGGCACATGGTAAGCATGTCAATGATATATTATTTGCAACTATTGCAGATCACAGTTAGGGCTTCTATTCTTGTGTTTATGATGAGATCTGCACATGTTGAATTATGTATGGAACTGTTCAATGGAAAGACTTCAGCTCTCAATTGATGTAATGCAAGTAATAACTATTTATTATATTGACATATTTACAAAATATTACAAAGTGAAATACCACTCTAATTCACCATATTACACAGGGCTGCATACAGGCAAGACAAAGTATATGGAAAACATTTACTTCTGTCTTTGGTATTAGAAATCTACACAAATCCGCAGCATTTAAAGTTTCCAAGATGAAGTATTAAACATAGACAAAGATGTAAATGGTAAGGTCATGAAAAGGGACGCTAATATCCTCTGCTGGGAAACCCCCAGGTCCATGAAATGCAGCAAGAGAGGGAGTCTGTTGGCTAAAATAACAACAAAAGAAACAGCACAAGCTACAGTACTTTACATAGGAGTGTTTCAGTTTGTATGAAGCTGCTCTCTCAGTAACATTTGGCAGACAGTAACAGACAAAACATTACCCAGACACAATGTTGCAGGTAAGACTTTACGGGAAAGAATCCACTCCAAGAGACACCTTGAGTGTGTAACTTCACTATACAGAACATCTTATAAAACTCAATTTCATGATCATTTACACATATACAAAAACTTAACTGGTTTTAGCAAGTAACTTTTCTAAAACACAATCACAGTTTACATAATTCTGAGGTAAAGGTCCTGAATCTATCCTATTTGAGAAGTCCTAGCCCACGAGGGTCTCTAAAGGAAGAAGTATTCACCGAACATCAAGTTCTGGCCCTCAGTGGGTTGGGGAGAAGGCCAATCACACCCACCTCATTTTAAAGATGATCCAAGATTTCAGAACTAAATGTTCCTAATTTGGCTCTATGAAGTTAATGCTTCTAATGTTTTCTGCAGAGACACTGAGTCTTGTCAGAACATGATTTTTGCTATGGAGAAAATATTTCATCAGGAAAGGGCCAAGTTAGTGTCTTAACTTGATTCTCTTGACTGGGAACTCTGTACATCCCAGGAAAAATGTACTTAGACTCCTCATATAAACAGTGAAGACTTGGTCAAATAAATGCACCACAGACTTATCTTCCCACCAGTTAATACGCACCCGGAAATGGACTCAGACGGGAAGAGCCACAGTGAGTGCTGGGAGCCCACAGTGGATAAGATCAGAAAAGTCTAGTGACCCTCCTTCATGTCCCTGAAATGCATAAAGGACCTTAATGTGCTTTGCTTCTCAAACCCTCAGTGAGGTTGTTTGTGCTACTGTAAATACTCCAGGAGAATGTGGGATCAGCAGGTATGCCCCAGGTCTTTTTCATTTGGGCAGGGGGGTCAGGGAGGAGGAAAAGGCATGCGTTAGTAATGTTGCTTCTCTGAAATGGCTTAGTATAAATCATAGGCATTGGTCTGTTGATGTAAACAATGGCACCTTAACTCAGGTTACTTGTAACTACCTAAAAAAACATGCATAGCCAAGATTATCTCATAAAGGGAAGTACTACATTTTCTAAAATAACCCCATGAAATCATGAAGGTTGTGAAGATTTAGCATGAAGATACTCTTTTATCCACTTTTTTGGGTATGTCTTCTTATGAAAAAGTTTGCAAATATAATCAGGACTTCAAATGAATAATTAACTCCTCCCTCCCACATGTCACTTACTAAGCAAAGCTGAGCACTTGCCTCTTAAACTTTCACATGAGGAACACTGGTGGTAGTGGGGAGGTAAAAGTGTTTGCCAGGCAATGAGTCACCTTGCCGGGCAATTTAAGACAAGTAATGCTGGACCTTTTCAATAAGCTGCCCCAGAGGCAGAACTGCCATTTTTCTTCATGCTGGAGAAAGCAAAATTAAACTTCTGCTTCTTTGTACCATCAAAAATTCTGGAGAATGGCACATGAGAAGAAAGTAAATACACATTAAACATTTACTAATGGCTGGCATTCATGGCGTCTGACTGGACAAAATAAAAAGAAACATGAACCAATATGCTTTCGGGGCTTTCTGGGGGAAGAAAAGCTTTTGGCTTTGCCCTGGTCCCTGACGATGACAGACGGGCAGGCTGTTTCTTGCACAGCTCTAGGCGAGCCATTAATCTGTCAGTACCAGCATCTTTAGAAATCCCAGCATTAAGACTTAGGAGGGGAAAGAGAGGGAAGATGTTGAATAGCCAGAAAGGCAGCTTTTTAAACACTTCAGTGAATTCATAATGCTGTACAGGCTGCTGTTAATCCCTTCTCTGAAATTCCTGGTGCAGTGCAATGCTGGACTGGAATTTATTCATCCTCTTCCACATACGTGGATGGAAACCAGCCCACCTAAAAAGGAAAAGCAACCAACACAGCAATGTGACTCTCTATCCAGCACTTCAAAAGGCTCTACAAACAGAACATTTCATTTTCATAACACCCAGAATTAAGCTGGGGTTTAATGCCCACTGCAGATGAAGAGGATTGGTTTAAACTGCTCCTAAAAGCCCAATAGAGTGAGTGGTAGAAAGGGTGGAATAAAATACGCTTCAACAGTGTTCTAATCTGCCAGGACACAAATATGTAAATTAAGAGGTTCTACTACTTAATGCTCTCTCTTCCTGCTATAGAACAAGATATAAAGACAGAGGTCCTATGTCTGCTCTTTCTAATTTAGACCAGTGGCCCTCACAGATCTTTTGTGCTCCACATAAAGTTGATGCTCTAGACTTAAAAAGAGGCTTACAGACTCAAAAGAACTGACATGCTCCTAAACCCTTTTCCCAATAGGAAGCCATCAAATTTGCCTAAGTAAACTTTATTTATGTCAGTATCCTAGTCACACAGTGCATTTTTCTGGAGTCCCTGTTTTCAGTAAGGAACACCACCCATGTGGAGCCAGGCCTCTGTGGGGGCGACAACTGTAAGGTAGTGTAGGGGTTCCCCCCCAGCCCATGGGTGCCGGTGGCTGCCCAGCCCCCTTCATGTACATGATGAACACATTGAGAGGGACGCTCACCCTGCCATTTACTTCTCCTCTCCACCAGCCGTTTGCACTCATCTTTGTGTAAATCTTCACCACGTCTCCTTTCAGCAGGGACAGTTCTCGCATATCTCTGGCACAGAAGTCATACCGAGCAATGGCGATGCCCAGCACCTTTGGACTTAACACTGTAAAGAAATGATGGGGCGTCAGAATGGATTTGCACTTTACCAACCATAAGAAGCTAATCAGATGGATGTTATAGATGCTATCAAGATGCACAGCCGTGATTTCATTACAGACTAGTGATGATGGCAGAGGGGCTTGAAAGCAGCAGAACTGCTGTTTCAATTCAATCAGCGGTAGTCAGGTTCACAAAGTTTAAAGACCCATTATTCGGTTTTCATGTTCTTCATAGGAACTTCCAAACAGGGACTAGTTTTTGTAGTTTGACGGGAAAAAAGGTTAATATCTAAGTTACTATCTAAGGTGACAGAATCTCAAATAACTAGCAAAAATTTCCTATTGATGGCATAGTAATCCATTTTTAACTAGACCCTCTATGGTAAAAGCTTCACATTTTTATCTTGTAAGCTTGTCAGCTAAGACTCAAAACAATCAACTTTTTTTTTTTTTTTGCTCTGAAAGGCTCCTACTAAATTCATGTCATCACTTCTAGTCAAATGGCATCTCCTCCCTCCAGACAGCCTTTTTTTAGTTAAAGCTATTTTAGAGACAGTTACTCTTTTATATATAATTTCACTTGTGAAGAAGCTTAAATCATGTTTCATGGAAAAAAATAATAAACGCCATCCATGTATCTTCTTTGTTTCATACAGATCTTATAGAACTTCCCTGGTGGCTCAGATGGTATAGAAAATCTTTACTGAAATACATAACCAAAAATAAGATTCAGGGTGTTCGCCTCCTATACTTAAGATTTTTTTTTAATGGTAGGAGAGGAGCTAACCTCTTCTTTGCCCTCACCTGCCTCTTCTGAAAGGAAAACTCAGTTCAAGCTGGACATCTGTTCTGTCTCTGGTGTTTCAGAACACATTTCATATTAATATCTCTACCTGTTGCTCCTTGGGGTTATAAAGTATTTTCAATTATATTTTCAGTGGTTCTGAGAATCACTCATCTGGGAATGGTGGAACTTTATAAACCTTAAACGGTAGAGAAACTGAAGTGTAAGAAAGGAAAAAAACCCATGGGAAATGCCATACATCATATTTTTAACAGTTCCCAGTGTCTAGGCAGCTACAATTACGTCTGTCACCCTGGAAAAGTGTGCCCTCTTGGAGACTGGGATCTCTGGCCTATTTTCCAGAGCTTTGCAATAATAGAAATTTCTTAGTCTCCAGGTGTCCATCATAAGATAAACGAATGGCAATGCTGTAGATTTCAGAACTGTAAAGGGAGCAAAAATAGGTCATTTTATTTTACTGTTCGGACACAAACCACTTTAATAGTCTCCTTACTGAAAACCATCCCATTACTGGGGCACTACTCAGAGCCGTGCACATAAAAACACCCCAGTGATGGAAAAACCCATCATCAACTTAACTGTGTGACCTTGTACAGTTCTCTTAACCCCTCTGGGCCACATTCTTCTCACCTATAAAATGAAAGGTCTATACTAGATGACTTGTAAGGGTCTTCTAGTACTATATTTTATTATTCCATTGGGACTTACAGGTTCATTTTTAAAAATCTGTAAGAAAACATACTTTATTCGGTCATCATGTACTCCTTACATGTCGCATAAATAGCCCTTACATTCTCTGGCTAATGACAGAAATTAAGGCCAGAATGCCCTGCACAAGCAGATGAACAGTCATCCTTCAAAGCAATATGAACTAAATTCTGTTCTCATATTTGGAGATAAAGTTGGGATTTTGGTCCTGTTTATTTTCTTAATGGAAAGACATGAACACTGGCTTTTCCCGACTAAAATTTCTGATCCTCAAAAAAACTAGTTTTATAAAGCACTTCATTCTCCCTTTATACTTTCGCCTCTCAACTCTTTCCAACTGATGCAAGAAAAAATGTCTTGCTGAAATACATAACATGAGCACACACATAAAACTAGAGGATTGGAATGTCAAGACAAACGATGACTTGATGACAGAGAAAAGGAAAGTGCATGGTGGGAATATGACTGGAGGGGCTGTTTGTGAGGAGATGTGTCTATATGAGAAGCCATACACGGAAGTCAAAATACTTGCAAACAAAAGCAAGTTGAAAAGACATATAAAAGCAGTAAAGCAGTACCTGACCAGAAAGGAGTGGAAGAAGGGGGGACAAAGCTGTAGTCTGGTGGAGTTACAAAAGAAAACCCACAGAACAGAGAAGGGGCTTAGAGAGGGAAAGAAAAAGAGAGAAGCAAAGAGCATTTAGGTGTTGGCAAAACATGTCTTGACACAGCTATTTCGTTGTCTATAACCTTAAGAAAATTGTCACATCAAAGTTGAAATATCAAGCTTCACTTTCACCCATTTGTCTCCTGTCACCATTTCTAGATGAAGAACAGGCCAGATTTTTTACATTTTGGTTGACATTAATGCAATTCAGAGCGATCCATCCCTTTACAGGTGAACACAGCATACACCTCCACGCTGCCATCGTTGAACCCTTCCACCCAAGGATGGCCTTCTCTTGGTGTGGTGCACAATTCCTACTTTCTCACATCAGTGAATATGGGGATCATGTAAATTCTTAATGTAATACGCTTCACATTAAAACTGATATAAAGAAGTCAGTATAGGGTGGCATCAATGAAATATGCAGAACCCATTGAAAATTCAAGAAAATCACTCATAAAATTTGTTATGAACCACCCTCACCTTCCAAACAAACATGTGCATGGTAGCTTATTTCCAAAAATAAAATATCTGGAAAAGAGAGTAAATATATCCCTCAGTTGTAGGAATATACAGAAAATATCTATGCATTTAGATGCTCAAAAACCTCTCACTTTACTTTTAATAATCAAGGCTAAAATTATCAAATGGTTTGAAAGTATCAGATGCCATACTCAGTGCTTTATATTCATTTAATTATCACAAAAACTCAGAGGAAGGTACCCATAATATTTTTTCTTCATATTTGAGAACAACTTAGATTCAAACCTAGGAAATGTGACTCAAGTCAAGGCTCTTCAGTGCTGCCTACTCTGCATCTATCTCTCTGCTTCAGGTACCACCTTAGACAGTTTTAAAACTCTCCCGGGTGATGCCAAGGTGCCATTGCAATAGAAAATGAAGTGTGATTGTAAACTTTCTCCAATATTTATTCTCCCCTTGATCCATGTAATAAGTTATTTGGTTGAGCTATGTTTGCCCAGAGATTCTATTACTAAGTTCTTGCTACTGGGATGGGATGTAAGCAAAAGTATCATGAGGCATCTTTCCTGGGAAGGCAGCTGGCACACACCTTCACCCTTGTTCTTTATTCTACCCTGCTGTCTGGAATGCGATAGCTACCATCCTGGTTCTTGAGAAGGCAGACTTCACCTTAAGGATAAACTTGAAAGAATCTGGGTTATTAACATACTCTTGTACCTAAGAATAGCAGTAGCTCATTAAGGGGATGCTTAGATTCCAACCAAACAGACTGCGCAGAGGAACTGAAAGGAGGGGTTCAGTGATTCTTGGGTTCATATATAAATTGATGCATGCATGACACTTTTTTCATAAGTGGCCTCCCATATTTAACCTACCCTGAAGTGTATCCTTGTTGATAATCAAGGTTCTCTTCTAGTCCACTGCATGTTCCAAGTTACACTTTTTTTTTTTAATGTAGCAGTATGTGCCCATACAACTAATTTTATAATCTGTGCAACTGACTTTGTATTGCCATGCAGTGTAACTGGTTTGTTTGATTTTCGAGGTCATGTTATATATATTGTTAAAGAGAGGAAAGGATGCCATCTCTAACTGAATGAGGAAAATGGCACCCTAACTACTATTGGCAGAAAATCTGGTGCCAAGACTCCTATCCCACGTTTGGGAGGACTCTTCATTCTACTCATTACTTCCGCGTAATGAGGAGAATTTGCTCCTCAAACTGTTTCCTAAGTGTCCATCCTTGATTCTCTCTATGGGACTATTTATCCATGGAGTAATAAAAAGAAGTGGTATTTCCCCGTAATTTCTAATGAAGGTAATTCAAGTCAAGAGTCTGAAAGATAACAAAAGATAAGTTAACTCTAGAAGGAATAAATAAGAAATCAATGAAAACACAACTAAATGGTACTTAAATGGCAAATTTATGTAGATAGCTCCTCCTCCTATTCATTGAACTCATCTTTGCTCACTTAACTACTCAAAGACTTCCAACAAAAACTGGCACAACATGAAAGAACATGAAATATGTTCATGTCTTGTTGCCCAGGATCCCTGAGAGCCATAATCTATCAGTGATATTCCTACAGCAACTATCATTTTTTTCTGAGATGCTGAACAGCTATTAAATACTGTATGTCTCATGGCATTAACCATACCATAGGCCTGAGGAATCTTCTCAGGTCAGGAGAGAAACTGATTAACCTCTTACATCCCAATATGTAGCTCTCAGCCAAACATTGTAAGTCCTGGTAAGATGCTTTCTAGTTTTCTACACATTGTGGCATGACTTATTGTTGTCACTCTTTCTACATATCAATTTTCACTGCCTTTGGGTCCTAAATTCTTGTAAGCTGGCAAAACAGTATTTGAATGCCTGGCACCTACGGAGATAAGAGTGTAAAAGAATGTGTCTCCCTAGGAAAGTATGGACTTAAATCTAGATGTAAGCAATGTCAGAATAAAGTATTTGATAAAGATATTTTGTGAAATGGTTTAACCTATAAAACATTTATGCCCATAGAGAGACTATATCCACCTATTGCTACACACACACACACAGACAGACGTTTTCTACATCATACTCCTCCAACTGTACCAAGATGCTAATATAAGAATTACTGGTAGGTGCATATCCTGAATGGAATAGAAACAGCTGAGTACAGTGACACTCAAATGGGAACATTGAGGGATTATAACCTCCCATTCCTTTTACTTCCTGACCTAAAATTCATTCACCACCTAGTACTATAGGGAGCCTGGTCTAGTACATCACCTTATTCCAGGAAGCTTTTTAAGAGAAAGAACTTTTATTCATATCTGTATCCACTGAGATAATATTA